GCAATGAAGTATAGAATTAACAATAGACTACTTACATGCAGTTTACATGAGTATATACAGAAAGTTGGCGGCTTTTGAGGTTTATACATTGAAGGCGAGTTACTTAATTGGCATGTTCATCTTTAAAAAGCAGCTTACTAACTAATATTCTATTTTTTATCTTGCAAGGGTATGCGATATTATCAGAAAGAATAAGATGATACTATTCGCAGGAATCTAAAAAAAGCAAGGAATCATAAAAAAAATGCCCTGCCCAAGAAGCATTCCAAAAAAATCTGCTCTCTTTCTGATACACTCCATGCCTCATTTTCTTCTTACTTGTATCTGCAGACACAGAGATTTTGAAATTCACAGAAGGTTTAGAAGATCCAACAGATAGTACTGCATACTTTACTACTATTTTCCTTCAAAAAGTAGCACTTCAATAACTGAGTTCCCTTGGCCGTGCGGCGAAAAATAGATATGAAACTGAGAGGGAAAGTGCCACTTCCGAAAGTAGTGCAATTATGTACATATATAAAGTTTTAAAGAACACCTCGAACAAATTCTTCTTTGGACTATGATTTGAGAACACTGAGTTTATAGGAAGTATAAAAATATGGTTTTGAGTATAGTACTTATTGTAATTTTTAATCATAGAAACTCCTCATATCAACATTTTGTTTGGTTTTTACTTCTACCTATAAAATGCCACTGTTTTCTTTCCTATATATGATTATAGTACTGTAATAGTAAGAAGTGAAAAAATCTTCATTCTGTAGTTAAGAATAAAGGATGAGAAGCAAAATATATGATATTCTGCTTATAAACAAACTCTCAAAGTTAAACACATAAAGCTTCTTATGTTCATTTGTTAATATGTGTTTATCTGAAAGCATATAGTTTCTTACCTTCATTTGTTTTTTCAAGTACACGAAGACTTTTCTCTTCAAAATAAAGATCTTCTTAGATAAAGATTTTTAGGCAAAATTGGAGAATATTTTAAAACCAATAAATATTGCTCTTACCTCACTCTCAAGAAATGCTAGAAATAAGGGAATGCTTAGAGCTCTTTAATACACTGGATGTTATTATCTTAGGAATAATACACTACAGAGATATTGGATAACAAAGTTATATTCAAAGAATGAAGCAAGTCACATAATAAAATAATTTCACTTTTGCTGATTATTTTGATATTTAAAACTAAAAGACTCAACTTCTAAATCTTTTTTTCAAAAAGTTTCTTTTTTTCATTCTAAAGTAGAATTAAGATTCAGATTTTCCAAATGATATCATCTTTGACATGCTCTTAGCTTTTAATACTGAAAACCCAATATTTTAGAGACAAATTGGAATTGAGCAAGGTTAATACGAAAAAAAGAAGTGGTATATGTGATTGTGTTAGCCTTAATATGAAAAAACCACCATCTCAAGGTGATGGCAGTCTTGAATATTATAGTTTAGTTTATTTAAGAATATGAGATGATGAACCAATTTGTTTGTGAAGCTTTCTTAATAAATACACTTAAACAAAGTTTTCTTAACCAATTTATTTGTGAAGTTTTCTCATTTGAACTACCGTATATTTTAGAATCTACTTACTTGGAGCACATATATGATTCTGAAAGCAAATAATATTCTTCAATTCATTCCTTTTCATTATGCATGTCAGATATTTTGGCATTAGTATTTAAAGTATTCTTAGCAGTAGGAAGACTACTCAGTCAATATAAAAACAACCTGCATAGTATGCGTTGCAGGAAATTTAACTAAAGTAGAAGCATGGCTCATGTAGCAGCAGAAGGCAAAAAAGAAACAAAGCAGCATAGCAGCTGTTTGGGAAAATCAAAATAAAGCAACATAACAATTGATTGCTAAAAAGCTGAATCATCTTGGGAAAAAACTTTTATCTTGAAATTTACGTTCCTGCTTCACCTTAAAATCCTTTACTTTGAGTTTTTTTTATCATTCCTTTACTTTGAGGTTGAGAAGGGGAAAAGTATATTGAAATTGAGAATATTGAAAATCATAAGAACAATTGGAAATTGTGAACGGAAAGATGATCTAAATGTATGCCTTTTACTTACATGAGTTACCATGCATCTACGCCGAGTCCATCGGTGCTTCCACCGCCTGCATCTTGTCGTTTCTCCACGGTGAATTCAAAAGCAGAGCAAACTCTTCTACTGAATCTGTTTGTGCTCGAGAAGGCAAACATGGGTTCCTCTGAGGTGTTAGTAAAAGAATTCTTTGAATTGAGAATCTAGAATTTAGGGGTTTAATAAAGCAACGGGTAGAAGAAGAAGAAAAACATCGGATAGTGTTGAGATTGAGATTAGAAATGAATGAGAGGAACGTGCTTTACTTACGGAGCATGTCCTCACCGTCTGATTAGTGCTTAAACGGCGTGTGGCTTTTCTAGCATGTTGGTTTCCAACTTTCCAGTGAGGGAGAGATGTGAGAAAACTGAGAATTGTAGCCAAGATCATTTCCGAAAGAAAGGAAAATGATTTGAGAATTACACAGCCTGGCGTAGATGGAAGTAGTTTGATCGTGGTGTTGAAGGATTGGGGAAGATGATGAAGAAGATTGTGTGGACTGCGATGACCTGGAATGAGGATGAACGAACGATCTGAAAGGCATAGATTTTGTTTTGGTCGTACGGATGAAATGCATTCGGCTCTTAGACGGGAAAATGGCTCTCCACAAAGTATTGCAATTATGTAGAGAGATTAATGGAGCATTTAATGCCCATGAATGTATCTCAAATAATACACTTGTATTGAATAAACAAACCAAATAGAGAGTAACATGTACAAAACAATTCAAGCAATTATTACTTTCCTTTTGTTTACAATGGGCAATAAAAGTTCGTTATTATCCATTGCAATTGCTTCATTATGGAAAACACAAATAAAAAATAACCAATGCAAACTAATGATTTATTTTTGAAATAATGACGAATATATGATGATAGGGACTTTAATAAAATAAAAGTAGTTGATCAAAATGTCATTTTTAATAATTCAATAAATGTAATAATAATTTTAGTGACTTTAGTCATGTTTAATTTTACATTGTAGTACTTATGACGGTATAAGTTAGAGATATACTCCCCCGTCCCACTAACAATGGGACAAGAGAGTGGAACGAAACTAATAAAAAGTAAATTATGTGGTTGATATTAAATTGATAAAGTAAGAATGAAGTAAGAATAGTTTGGAGCCACACAAAATTTATCTAATTTGGTGTGGGACAATCTTAGTGGGACGGACCGAAAGGTAAAACGGGACAATCTTAACGGAACGGAGATAGTAATATTTAAAGGAAAATACAGTATTTAATACAAAATAACCGAAATAAAGGTATACGACTGTATTAGAAATTAGAACTCAAAAAAATAACAACAACAATAATAATACGGAGTAATAATAATAATAATAATAATAATAATAACAACAATAATGATGATGATGATGAGGACGACGATGATGATGACAACATTGGTAATAATAATATCTGTAAGGATGTTTTTACTTGGAGTGTAATTTGATGGTCTGGTCTGAACTGGTCTGCTAAACGTCTGGTCTCTGTGTATTTTATAACTATGGAAGTCTGGTCTGGTCTGATTTGGTTTGTTTAAGTATGTTATGGGACTGAAAACAGTTCAAGTAAAAACATTCTAAATGTTACTCCGTATGTGTGTATTAACCAAACTAGCTCCAATTGTGCATACATCTTAGATATATTATGAAAACGGTCACAGAAATAATTTATTTTTAACATCTTTTCATGAGAGCGTACATTGTTGGTAGCACAGTGCTCATTGTACAACTGTGCATTTTATGTTATACTTAATGAGTATAACGTTTAATTAAAAGAAATGAGCATCGATATGATATTAAATCACTGTATTGTTAGCATAATAGAGTATTAAATTAGAAGCATGCAATTGAGTATTCTGATCTACACGTAATATATATGCTACAAATCAACTTATTCATTTAACTTATTCGTTTAAACATTATACTCATTTTTAACACAGAATACCCGACTATATACCATGGGCACGTTACAACTTGTTGCACGATATATTTACGTCTTTTCATTTCACAAAGTGGCACAATGCCCATGAATTTTTGAGTCGAAATTCACGCTCATTAACTACGGAGCAAAATAACAAAAATTTTCACTTGATCAAGTCTTTGATCAAGTGAAAAAAGATTTCATTTCAAATTTAAATATAGGTAATTTCCAACATTATTTCATTTTTCATGACCATAAATAATAGAAAAAGGCAACCTCTAGCTCAACTAGACATATATCTACCAAAAATTATCTATACACATGATCAATTATATGTTGTCATATCTAAAATCACCTCATCAAGGACTGATTGAAGATTCTTATACTACTTCTTTCCCAAAAAGAGTTGCAAATTTGACTTTTCTTAATCAAACAGTCTCGTTTTATTTACTTAATTAGGATGTCAATTTTTAATTATATTCTAATTTGAAATTTACAACTTTGAAGAGATTTGAATGTAGTTTTTGAATATGTAAATTTTAATTATTAAAAATTTAATTAGTTATCCATATGGAGGGTTGACTTTTATTATTGCTTGACAAAAAATTTTTGACTTTGCAAAACAAATTGAGACGGAGGGAGTATGTCGCAATAAAAGTAAGGTGTCATCACCCGTACTAAAACATTGGTTTGTTAAGATGATTCTCTAAACCTTAAATAATTGTTGTATACTATTAAAATAAACGAATGTCCTATTTCATGGAACTTTGAGACGACCAACAAATGGAAATACGTCGTTAGGACATTTGGAATTACACAATTTTTTATATCATCACACTACAATTTTATTTTAATGTAAGTTATTATTCTACTCTAGATACATCCGTGCATCGCACGGATCATTTGTCTAGTATGTAATGAATATTCCATCCGGGTCAATTCTTACTAGAGGAGTAACTAAAGACTTTAGAGAAGTATTGGTATTGGTATGGTGGTAATTGTATTATACTATCGTATATTATTACAACGGATATATGTGTTGATCTAGAGTTTTATGACGACATATCAGTAAAGCATATATAGAACTACGCCGTAACTAGACGACCATTATAAAATACATCATTGCTAGTCCTTTTATATGAAACCTTAAATTAAACCTTAACAAGATAGAATTACTGGCTTTGTAGATATGCTCCAGGGTAAATTAAAGCTCAAAGTAAAGGAATACAAAATGTATTGGAGGCACCCATGAAGACGTTACATGCATGCATGCTCAGCAAGTCAATCGCCGCAGCAAGCTACGTACTTGTTTTACTTCAAATCATGATGACAACAAGTGTCCAAGGCACTCCAAGCGGTAAAGGCCAAGGAAAAAAAGCAGAAGTATCCTCCCAGTATAAGAGACTGTGGTCTGGCCACCTCACACGAGTTTGTAGAACTGCTTTTCAAGCTTTGTCCAATCCCCACCAAAAATATTGTTGAGACCCACAACAAGCTGCCATCTTAATGCGTATACAATTAGGATATATATAGTTTTTTTTTAACGAATTAGGATATATATAGTTATTAATACCGATATATTTGATGGTTAGAATAAATAATGATCGAAAAGCCTTATTAATTAAAGGGAGTGAGATTTCGGAGCAGGGGCGGAGCCAGAAAAACTGCTCAGGGGGTCGAAACTCAACCTATATACACACAGTGAAAATGATGGATCATTTTTAAATAATGTCCGAGTTTAAATTCATATGCAGTTTAGATTAATAGACACTTGTCGCGATAAGATAGATTGTCTTTGCTCTGTTTCTGAGTCGTGTCACGTAAGTATTGCGTGAACTATACCCTATTTTGATAATTTGGGAAATTAATGTGTAGTATGTAGGGCTGTGCATTAACCGGGTCGGACCGTATTTTAGACCTGAACCGGACCGGAATGACCCGGTCCGGACCGGACCGGTATTAATCGGTCCGGGTGTCGGTCCTTAGTTTTTCAAGATTCCGGGTTTCCGGTCCGGTCCGGGTCAAACCCGGAAAAAACAGGTCCGCACCGGAATAGACCGGTAACCTATTGTTCCATAAAATATATACTTCGTTTTGAATCATTAGTCAATTTATATTTGGCTTACTACTATGTTTATGGCTTATTTTTGTCTTTTGTTATATAAACGAAGTTATACGGAGTGTGTATTTGGTGTCTAATTATTTCATAAGTTGTTTATATTTTTTTTTATGTAGCAGGTCCTAAGTTTTTTATTGATCGTAGTTTATATTTGTTTAATTTTTCCAAATCGCTTTTTATTTGTTTCTTTGATTGCAGGTGTGTATGTAGTTTATATGTAGTATATTTTTGGACGTAATTTAGTTTTTATTACCCCACAATAAATTTTGCCAATTCAATACACAAAAGATTGTAGTTTTAATTATTGTGGGATACTAATTGTTACGATTGAATAGTTTTGATGACTATATTCCAAAATTAATAAATGAGCCAAACAATTATTTAGTCTATTTAACAAATCCGCATATAAAATTATAGTTTGAAACAACAACAACATTCAAGTCTTATTCCTAAAAAATTTGGGGTCGGCAAAGAACACTCTAAGATAATACTCCATATGTCTTTTTTTAAAACCGGGTCAATTAGGGTCAAACCCGGACCGGAAAATTCAGGTCTGGTGATACACTTGTAATTTCCGTGTGTATGTTTATGTTTTTAGCTAGTTTTAATTGTTTAATATTTCGGAAATTACACACTTTTGGTGTAATAGTCATGTTTGTAAAATAGTTGTAATATGTTTAGATTAGGTCCATTCTGAGTTTAAACAGGTCCAAGATCAATCCAATGATCATTGGTGAAGGAAGGTGCAAGAGTACAAGACAAAAAGAAGGCAAAATCCTGATTTTTGACCTATACTCGATCGAGTATAGCATATACTCGATCGAGTATCTTGTTGAGATTTCAAATCGGATCGGATCTGAAAACAAAGGAACATGCAGGGAAGATTTTGACCACGATCGAGTGTCGATACTCGATCGAGTACACCGACATACTCGATCGGGTATGACTATAAATTATACTCTGAATTCGGTCGAGTATGGGTCGAATTCAAGTTTCTACTCATACTCGATCGAGTATATATACATACTCGATCGAGTATGCCTTTAATTTTAAATCTGAAATCGATCGAGTATACCTCGAATTTGCATTTCTACACATACTCGACCGAGTATCTTTATATACTCGATCGAGTACCCGAGCTGCACTCCCAAAAAGCCTATAAATACACCCCCTTTCCTTCACAATGGGCACCAATTCACATATACTTCTTAGCTCAGTTTAGACAAGTTCTTTCTTTATATTTTTCATCATGTTTAGTCTCCAAATGAGGAGCTAAACTCTTCCATCTTGGTTTTGCTACTTTGAAGCTTAATGATTTGTAAGTTGTGAGTTATTTTCTTTAATCTTCTTCCTTGAATATTAATTACTTCCTATTCATATTCCATATTAATATATTGAGCATTACTTAAAGTATCAACTAGTCTTGTTCTATATATTAAATATTACTAGAATCAATCGGTTAATACGCTTGTTATTAATTCGGTTCTTTCACGGTAGTAAACTTGGGTTGTTAATACATGCTTCTCATGGTTAATAAGCCAAGGGGAATTAATTATATTGATTGAACCAATAAACCGCTTGTGTTGAGGTTATCAATCTCAATCGTTTTCATCTTGATTTTATTGCTACTATCAAGTTAATATACGGCGCTTGTTCTATATTGACTCGGTAGTAAGTTTTATTAATGAACGCTTCTCGTTATTAATAACTACCCTCGATGAACTGGATATACTCCTCGATTGAGTATTCGAGAGGAAGATAGTTAAAGATATAATCGGGATCGACGAACATTTCATTAAGTGGATAAAAGCAAAGCCAAGTCTTCTTCTCATTAATTAAACCACATAACTCGTTCATCTTCGTGTTTAAATATAATTCAAGTACATTTACTCAATCTAAATCCCCCCCTTTGTTACTAGTTTATAAAGAGAAAAGTATTCCTTTCCCTGTGGATACGAACCTTACTTCGCTATACTACGTATTAGTGTCGTATTGATATTTATTTTGAGTGCACTTCACGACAAAGTGCACGTCAAATTTGGCGCCGTTGCCGGGGAAAGGCAATAATTTTTCTTTTATTTCAATTCAAAAAAAAAAAATATATAAACAAAATATAAAGAGTTACTTTTTCTATTTCTGAGCTTTGGGAAGTATATGGTCAAATATCGTTCATTGAACGAAATCACTTATCAAGCAAACCCTGAAATAGAACAAGCCTTCGAGAGGTTGAAAAATTTATTTCCGCACACACCCTCGGAGGAATCCTCAAACGCTAGCTCTAGCGAATCCGAAGAGTCAATCCACATGGCTCTCGAAACAAGAACCTTGAGGGAGCTCACAGCTCCAAACTTGAATCAACAACCATTGTGTATTACCTTTCCTACTCTTGATGAAGGTAATACATTTGAGCTAAAATCTGGGCTCATACATCTATTGCCATCATTTCATGGCCTACGAGGAGAAGACCCGAATAAACATCTTTCGGAATTCCACATCGTTTGCACAAGCATGTGTCCAAACGGTGTTACCGAAGAACAGATCAAACTGAGGGCCTTCCCTTTCTCTTTGAAGGACACCGCGAAGGATTGGCTTTTCTATCTTCCTTCGGGGAGTATCAATACATGGGCACAAATGAAGAAATGCTTCCTTGATAGGTATTATCCCGCCTCCATTTCATCATCTCTTAAGAAGCAAATAAGCAACATCGAACAAAAAGATGATGAATCCTTGTATGAATTCTGGGAGAGATTCAAAAAGCTATGTGCTAGCTGCCCCTATCATGGATACACTGAACAAGACCTCATCTTATACTTCTATGATGGTCTTGTTGATGATGATAGAAGAATGGTGAATGCCGCTTGTGGAGGTGGGATAGTCAATAAAACTCCTTCACAAGCTATAAGTCTTATCTCGGAGTTGGCCGAGAACTCACGACAATTCGGCCGCAAAACCTCAACTCGAAGAGTTCTTGCGGCGGAATCCAGCACAACCACTCTAGAGAGTCAAGTTGCCGGCTTGACTTCTTTGATAAAAGAGCTCCTTTTAAAACCAAAAACTCAGGAGGTAAAAACTTGTGGAGTTTGCACATCAACCGGACACCCCACTGATGCGTGTCCATCACTCCAAGAAGAGCAAGTCAACGCTCTCGGTTTTCAAGGACATCAACAAAGAAGGTATGATCCTTTCTCAAATTCTTATAACCCGGGATTGAGGGACCATCCAAATTTGAGATACGGAAACCCTCAACAAACCAACTCATCTTCTCAACAACCATCTCAATCCAATATGTCAACGGATGACATGATCCGAACTTTGACATCAAACATGGTTACCATGCAACAAAACATGGGAGAATTTCAACAAAACATGATACAATTCCAACATGAGACAAAGTCAAGTATTAAAAATTTGGAAACTCAAGTTAGCCAAATTTCTAATGCCGTAAACCGACTTGAAGCAAAGGACTCGAGAAAACTCCCATCTCAAACGGAGCAAAACCCGAGACAACATGTAAATGCAATCATGTTGAGAAGTGAGATGACATTGAAAGAATTAGAAAAGGAAGACCAAATTCTTGAGGAGGTTGACCCTGAAGAGGAAGCTCACTCGGAGGAGGGAATCACAAAGGAAAAACTTCCTCCATCTCCATCATATGAACTAGTGGCCCCATTCCCTGAGGCATTGAGGGAAACAAGGAAGCTTGACAAAGATGCTGACATCTATGAAACTTTCTCCAAGTGTGAGGTAAACATTCCGCTCCTTAACTCAATGAAAAGTGTTCCCCGTTTTGCTAAATTTTTAAAAGAATTATGCAAAACAAAAAATAAAGTGAAAGGAAAACAAGAGGTTAAGGTGAGTGAACATGTTTCGGCTCTTTTTCAAAAGAAACTCCCCGAAAAATGTAGCGACCCAGGCATGTTCACCATACCTTGCAAAATAGGAGACACCACATTTTCTAAAGCCTTGTTGGATTTAGGGGCATCCATAAATGTCATCCCTTACTCGGTGTATAAATCCCTACAACTCGGTCCACTACATCAAACCGGTGTAGTGATTCAACTAGCGGATCGTTCTACTACTTACCCGAAGGGTGTAATAGAAGATGTGCTAGTAGAAGTAGAAAATATGGTTTTTCCTGTTGACTTCTATATCCTTGAAATGGGGGATGGTAACCAAACAACACCTATCCTGTTGGGTAGACCCTTCTTAAAGACCGCAAAAACAAAAATTGACGTGTCTAGTGGTTCATTAACTTTAGAGTTCAATGACCAAAAAGTAGAGTTCAATATATTCGACTCTACGAAAAAACAAATTAAAGATCAATCCCTTTGCTCTTTAAATGTTTTTGAACCACAAGAACCAAAGTTTTTGAAGGA